TTTTTTTTTTCCTTCAAAACAACGTCGTTTTTCCCCTCTTTAAAACGACGTCGTTTCCTACCTATTAGAAATTTATTTATTTATTATTATTATTATTATTATTATTATTATTTTCTTTTTTTTCTAGTCCTTACACAAAAACACCCCCCAAATCCAAATTTTCTTCTCTTTTTTCTAAAATTATTTTCAATTTCATACTCAACCTATTTTTTTCTAATTTTATATTAAATAATAATTTATTAATTTCAAAATTATATTTTTATATATTTTTTTTAACTTTAAAATTAATTCCGAGACAAATTCCAAACCCGGGTATTATAGACAGAATCTATCATTAGTCACTAGATCTCAACTCTCTTATAAGTTGTTCCACATAAAAAGTAGTGAATTGATTTCATTAAAAATGTTTTATACCTTTTGTATCAATGCCATTGGGTCAAGAGACTTGATTTCGTTTTAATTAAAGTAGGATGTCCTGGCACTAGATTCTTAAATAAATAAGCAAATAAAACAAAAATCTTATAAATATAGTTCATTTAAGAATTGATTAGAGATTTTCAAAAATAAAAAACTAAACCTTAGTGAGCACCAAGTCAAGCTTCTCATAGGAAGTTGCAATTCATTTTTTATGATTCATCCAAATAAATCTTCCTCACATTTTTTTTTTGTTTATAATAAGAAAAGTAACAAAAAAAAAAACTAATGTCTAATTAAATAGGCCCAAACTTAGTAACAACGATCAAGATAAAGATATGCATAAAGATCCTTAAAGAGCATGTTGAAGTTTGGTATACTCCACCTAAATATGGTGAGTCCATTTAGACAACAGATTTGTATAAGTATAACTTCACAATGGATATTGAATATTTAAATGACTCAATTCAACTTGGAAAAAGTCTCAACCTGGCTTTTTACCTTCATGTAGAGTAACCTATTCTCTCAAATACTTTAGCTCGATGAGTTTAGCATAGTCTATCCAATTCTCAAAACTGTGACATCTTAAAAAAGAGGGAATAACATAGCCTCATATGTTAGAAGATGCAAAAAAATTAACCACATCTCCTATGAGCAACTGTAATAGATGATACTTGGATGCATATTCCTCTATAGCATTTGGTAATGCTTCATTTAATTGGATTGATGCATGGACCTAAGGAAGGGTGAAGATCTAATCATCATGGGTACCTTTTATCGACAATCAAGCAAATCAAAGATAGAGATGCCTTTGTCACATATTAATGATCAAGGTGATATGACCTCAACTATTTTTGTTTCTATTTTGAAATATTTAGTTCGCTCGAGATAATAACAATACTATGTGTTAGATTGTTTCTAGAACATGGTATGACTTTTAATTGTTTTTAAGATGACAAAAATAGATTATATCATATCTTCTTTGAACGGTCCTTTCATGTCTCTTTGGAATCCCTTGGTCTCCTATTTTTTTGATCAAGATTAACTTAGATATGAGTTTCATTAAAAGGAAATGGGTTACATTTATCTGTTGATGTATAACTCAAGCACTTTTTAGTAATAATAAGGCGATTAAAATTTTGCATGAGCTTATTACGATTTGGTATAATTTTTTATTTGTCACTCTTCAAAACTTGGGTAGGATTATAATTGAGACAAATAGAATAGATGCTTTTAAATTATTACGTGATAATTGTATAAATTATAATCTCCCGAAATTTATTTATAATGAGTATCAGACTCTCATATTGATATATACTATTTGATTATCAGACATACGAATAAAAAACTCTAACTATCCTCGAGTTAAGCAAAAGTAGTTGGGAGACAAAAGGGTACATAATTAAATTTTATTTAAAATAAATAATAATTATATTAATAAAATATTCTAATTTTATAGTTAATTGTTAAGTATGGAGAGTTTATATCTTACATTATCTTGGTACCATTCAATTTTTTTAAATTAATTTTTCAATTAACCACTTAAATTAAAAACTATCGTGATTTGGATCATAATTAATAATAAAAGTGGGTCTAAGCCACATCTTCTAGTGCTGTACAGTGATTTGATTGGGCAATAAGTACGTCATTTTTTTATGATTAATTTTATATTTATTGATTATAGGTGAAGAAGAGCATGTCAACAATAATTATAAAAAAACTTAAATAAATAAAAAAATAATTTTGAATCTTCAGTATTTTCCGAAAAAATAAAATTAAATTAAAATAAAAACAAGTGGGATTCTGCATCAGCTTACCCAGATGGTTGTTAATGGTGTTTTGGACTCTTCTGTTGTGCTTTTCTAAGCCATATTATTATTCTTCTTCTCTCTTCCATTCTCCCAAGTCCTTTTTTTTTTTTATATATATATCTTTTCTGCTTCTTAAATATCTATATATATATATATATATATTATTTTGTGCCACTTCTGTTCTTAAAACTCAAACTAGTGCATATTACTATAAGAACCCTTATCCCCAAATTTAGGTAAAATTTCAACGGATTACTTATAATGAGATGAAAAAATGATAAGTGGTAAAAACATTAATTAAATTTGTATTATATTAATTAATTATAAAAGTAAAATAAAAATTGTTCATTCACACCTTACATTTCTTCCAGGACCTCCATAATAAAAATAAGTTCCCCAAACATTATTTCTTCCTTGTCTGATATCATAACAATTAGGATGATCGGCCAAGAGATGAAGATTTGTTAATGGAAGCAAGTTATTATCCCAATCAACTTGCTGTAAATTTCTAAAATAAGCAGCTCTTCCAAATCCTTCTTCTGCAAAATGTCCACTTCCCATCTGGGTTGATGTGTGATACCCACCAGATGATCTGCTGTTTACTATTTCTCCTCCAAATTGAACCATGCTTGCATGGCTTCTCAAATGGCTGAACAAAAATGCAGGCCAGTATCCGACTAGTAATCCCGATCCCAGTTCCAGCCACCAGTGTCCGTGCTTCGGGTCCTGATCATTAATTCGGAAAAACGAATCAAAAACTTAAAAATAATAAGAAGACAAACATGATATTTGGGATTTTGATCATCAATTTAAATGAAAGAATTGAAAGTTTAAAGTAATAGGAAATGATATAGTTTGTTTTCTGACAGACATAATATTTCAGCTCATGATCATCAACTCAGAAAAACGAATCGAAAGTTTAAACTAATAGAAAATGATACAATTTATTAATAAAAAATTTAAACTAATAAGAAATGATACAGTTTATGATTATCAATCCAAAAAAAATAAATCAGAAGTTTAAACAAATAAAAAATAATATAATTTATTTTCTGACGGACAATAAATAATCGTTTGTAAAAGTAACTGAAAAGAAATCAAATTGAAGTAAATTTCTTTTGAAAAGATAAAAAAAGGTGAGGAAGAATTGGTAAGAGAAGAGATTGATTTGTTAATAATGTTTAACCCTTCGATACCAGTTGGGAGTCAATACATAAAGCAAATGTCTTTTATTAAAAGGTAATGAAAATCAACAATTTAATTAAGAAAAAGAGAAGGAAATCTTAAAATTTAATTAACAAAAACAAATATCAAATCAACAGTGGAAAAATTGTGAGACACATCTTTTTCATTTAATTTTATGACAATTACCAATCAAATCATGTCTTTATAAATGTATATCAAACTTTAAAAAAAAAAAAGACCCTTTTCAGATTATATATAATTAAGGGGAAAAAAAAATTAGTCAAATAAAAAAAAGATTGAATGATGGTGTTTGTAGTTGTCAAAGGGAGTTTTATCAACCAAACTGTACAAAACTACCCTTAAGCTTGAAGCAACAAAAGGTAATAGCTGACCTTTGAAAAGGAAAGCTAAACAAATAATTTAAATCAATAGTATAAAGGTAATTAAACTCACCTTCCACACCATTAAACCAATGTCAAATTGCTTGCCACCATAGGAGGACCTTGGAGAAATTGCTGCTCCAATGGCAATCTTGTTATTGGTTTGAACAAAGCCAGAGCAGAGCAGATTGTAACATCCAGTTGCTTGGTATGCATCAGTCTGCAATTAAATTTAATATTTCATAAGTAATCACTTTTTTTTTTTTTTTTTTTCTTTTTTCTAAAAATAAATCAAGAAAAGAGATTCTTAAAAATAAAAGAGAAAGACTCTGTCATTAACACTCACAGTCCAGTATGTGAAGAATCTAGGATAGTCATCTCCATATAATTCTGGACTAACCTGCACATATATTATGAATTCAATCATTTTTTATTTTTCCAATCCAAGTGAAAACTGGGTTTGATCCTCGAGTTCATACATTTATACATACAGTAATTTTGATTGATATGTACATAATAACACGACAAAAAACACATCATATTAAGGTTATTTGGAATTTGACAAAAGAAGGAAATCAATTGAGTTTGTACCTGCCAACCAGCTTCAATGGTGTTTAAATCATGACCGAATGAACCAGAGATTATCCAAAGTTGGGACAAGCTAAATTCGTATTGATTGGTGACTCGAGGCGTCCAGACATTCAGGCTTGCTTTTGCTCCATAGTACTGACCTCCATTGACAAAAACAACTGCATGCTGCATAAAATCAAAATTCATTACATGACAAATTCAAACAAGTTGACAACCTAAAACATGTTTATCTTGATTCTTTTTTTTTTTAACAACTTGGAATTCTAATGTTATATTAGGAATTTGAAAGGACAAGGTGTTTTTCAGACATGGCAGGGCGTTTTGTTTGGAAAACCAATTTCAATAACAATATCTCTCCATTGCATTTGCCTCTCTCTTTCTTAATAATTCACTGTTTGATTCTAATATTTGTTTTTTCCTAGGGGAGAAGAAGAAACCAGTGATATTTTTTTTTTCTTAAAATGGTAATGGGTTCTAAATTTGGAAATTTAAAAAAAAAAATTAAGAAGAAAACAGAGGAAACCCAGAAAAAAGAGAGAAAATTGAGTAACAAACCTCATGACCACCTCCTGAAGTATCTCTTCTAACCCTCCTTAATTTTCTTCCAAATCTTCTAATGGAGCTTGCTCTTAGCAGATCTTTCTCTGTAGTTCTTCTAATTGGAACAGTTCCTTCTGGGCAAGCTTCCCCTGAATTTGTCCAAACCTGAAAGTAGTCTGTTCCTGCTCCTGATGAGTTCTTATGACCAGTTGGCCTCTCGGGTGGATCCTACCAAACATAATCCCTAATTAGCTACATTGCAATTACTGATCAAGATTCCACATTGTCTGAGATTGAATATAAAAGTTACAAATAGAGACAAACAGAAGGTTACCAATGGCTTCTGTCCTCTAAGCTCAGGATGCTCAAAAGCAGGTTGAAGATGAGATTGAACACAATCTATAATATCTCCATCTGGGCTCTGAGAAAAATAATAAATAACAAAAACCCAGATCAGCAAACCTCAAACAGAGCATGAAAGTTTCATTCTTGACAAGACACCACCATAGAAACGGTAAAACAAAAAGAAGAAAAGGAAAGATGCCTGAATAGTCTTGACTGCAGGCTTGTTGATCTTCCTGAGAAAAGCATTGACTCTCTTGAGCTTTAGCAACTCCTTTGCCGGCCGGAAAGTCTGGTTAGCGGGGAAACGGTGGCCGGAAGTTTCAGAAAGGTGTTGTAGAGAGAAAACAGGGGAGATAAAAGAAAGAAATAGGAGGAACAGAACAAAAATAGAAGGAACCATGTTTGAGGAATGTTTTTGTGTTTGTGCTGTTGTTTGTTTTGACAGAGAAGATAGTGTTTGTATAGATAGGTATTGTCTTGTTGTAGGTTTAGGATGGAGACATAGTTTATTCCGAGGTTTTGTCCATGGAGATGAATCTAAGTCCATGTTCATACAAAAAAACAAAGAAGAAGGTTTGTTTTAGGGAGGGTAAAAGAATTTGCATTCTCACCAAGCCTCCATTTCCAAGAAATATATATATATATATATAAATTCAAAAGAAAAAAAAACAAACAAGGTTTGTGTATTCAGCAAATTACGAAACAGAGATTGTAAGGTAAGGTGTTTTTTTTTTTGGTGCTCTGACAACCCAAGAAACTTGAATCTGAAGCCCCTACATTAATAAACCGCCCATTGGTGGAGTTGTACTTTTCCAAGTTTTACCCATCAAGGGTCATGGTCAAAACTAGTATATACATTCATACCCATTTTTTATACATCATTATAACCTCTATGTGTATACATAATCACAGAGAGAGAGAGAAAGAGTATTTGATACTGAGAAAAAGCAAAACAGGAGGGTTGAAGCTGGAGTTGAATACAGTTGGACCACCATTGAGTGATTATTCTTAGGTATATTTTTGTATTGATTGATTTTAAGGAAGGGTGTTGAATGACCACTTTCCTAAAAATAATTATTTAGAAATTTTTATTTAGTTTAAGAAAATATAATTTTGTTGTAAGACATTAAACCTTATTATTTTGAAAAAAAAAAAAAAAAGGTATTAATTTATGAATAAAATGTATTTATTTTCTATACATTGAACCTTAAATTTATCTTTTTAATTTTTAAGTTCTTTTTCAAAAGTAAATTAGAGAAAGATTTCCAATTCTGTCAAGTGAATAAATTCCATTTTTATTTTGGATTGACATTTTAGCTTTCAATTCTCACGAGTGCTAAAAAGCTCTCAATTAAGTTTTTACTTTTTCTGTTTTCCTTAATCCCAAAAAGTAAAAATAGGAAACTAATGAGGCCTATTTTCCTTTTTAAGTTTTCCTATTTTACTTTTCAGGGATGGTAAGGTAAAATGAAATTGATGTTGTCACTTTCAAATTCAATGGTAAGTATCCACCGCCAGGCTGCTTGATTAATTTCATTTCCATCCATAAATCCTAATTATACTTTTTATACTTAAGGATTTATTATTATTCTTCATTAAATTAATTAATTTAAATTGTCTATCTTTTAAAATTACCTACTTTAAATAAAATTAAACAATTTTTATGATTTATTATTTAAAAAAAAAAAACAAAATAATTTGCTATTTTACCGAGTATTTCATAAGTATACACAGAACTTTTTAAAATTATTTTTATAAAAAGAATGTTCATTTATTATTTTAATAAATAATCACATCTACAACATAAATTGCTTTTTAGAATACATTTTAAGCTTATGAAGTACAATCACATTCACATACACATACCCATACCCACGCGCAAGTGTGTACATAACATATTTGTACATTATGTGGGGGATGTATCATCATCATGTCAAAGAAATCATAATGATTAATTAAAATCCAAGACCCTTTATACGTGTGTGTGTGTATTGATGATTAAAAGAAAAAAGGTATGCTGTAAATGTTTGCAATTTCTTTTGACAATCTTAAACTTATGAATAATCAAAAGGTAATTTCTAATGATACAATATGATGATTCCTTTTAGTAAATGTTTTTTCTTTAAACATGAATAGATATGGTAATTATAAAAATGTCTTAAATTTGGTTCCCTTTTTTAAACTTGACTAAGACATGCAAACAGTTATTATCTTCTCAATATATATATATATATATATATATAAGTTAAATGTAAGTTAAATGTTTCCACATCAAACTCCTAAGAATAAGTTAAATGTTTCTTTTCCTCTTAAGATTAAAGCAAAATGTAAGAATTCAATTTATATACTCCTAAATTAATATGTATACACACACACACACACACACACACATATATATATATAAGAATTCAATTCTTTTAACAAAAATTCATAACATTTTAAATAAATAATATATATACATTAATTATAAAATAATATTTTTAATTACAATACAAAAAAAAAATATACAGTATGATTTAAATTTATAATTTTTTATAAAAAAATTACATATTCTTACTCAAATTTATAATGTCTTTGTAAAACAAAGTATTAAGTATTAATTTAATAATAATTAATACATAATGCTACTCATAATTGGGTTATTAATTTTTATCATAAGGGAACATAATGGTCTCTTGTTCCTTTACCATAACAATATTAGCCTACTCCTCAAACCTTATATTTATTATTTGCTTCTAAACCACTAATTATTGAAATCCAAAAAGAAAAGAAAAAAATCAGCCAAACAAGCCTTAAATAAATAATGCACAGGGAGAGTATTTCATTGTTTTTCCATTGGTTGGTTGGGTCCTCAAGAAATTGTACAATTGTGTCATGATCAACCAAGACCCCCCAATGCTCAGACCATTTATTATGCAATTAAATCTCCCCACTGCTACCCAGAGAATATTAATACACACCCTTCACCAGAAATTCAGAGATACAATTCATTATTAAATTAAAATTTAAATACCCACTTCAAATCAATCAATTTTTTTTTAATGTATGTATATATATATGCTTCACTATTTAACTAATACTATACCAAAGTTTGAAACAAATGAAAAGTCACTGCTGAGTTGTTACCGTGAGTTTCAAGTAAGAGATGTTGATTGTGTGGATTATTGTTGAAAGAATAAATGGCAAAATTTAATCTTTTTTAGAAAAAAAAACCCCCACAAACACCCATATAAATAATTTTAACATATGTAAGATAATAATGGGTATTATGTTTAGATTAAAATAAGAAGTTACCCATATCATTATTGTGATTACCCACCCCATTTTAAAAAATAGGGAATATTTTTGCTTTTTTTTTTTTTTAAAAAATATATATATATATATAAAAAAGGGATATTTAAGCTTATGGGTTTTAGGCTGTAGAAGCACAAAAAGTATGGGCCCTTAGCCTGTTTTTATCTTTTTAGGGTTCTGGGACATGCTGCTTCCCACTTTTAAAATATACACTCCTTCTTCCTTTTATTTCTTTTTCTTCTATTCTTTTTATAAATACCCACTCACCCACCTCTGCCAAAAAAAAAAAACTCTTGTGAAAGAATATTGGTCCACAGCCAAACAAGGTTTTATTTAAGGCATTTCAATTGGAAAGCATGCTTCTCTTCTCTTCCTTCTCTTTCTAAAGTTGGTCTCACATAGAATAGATTCCTACCCACAATCAACCAACAAAACAAAATTTCAAAAGAATAAAGTTTTCTTTTCTTTGTTTTTTAAGTTTTCTTTAGAAAAGTAAAAAAAGTGTTTCATGTATATTACACTCGTTAATCTTCTTAAAACCCATGAAGGAGATTTGATTTTGTATGGCATCAAGAAAATTTTCATTCATCTTTTAAAGAAAAACAAAAGGGAAAAAGCTGCCCTTTGATGGGTTTTTCCAGGCAGAGAATAAACAGAAAGTCAGAATTAATTCTTTGATAAGAAATGTTATATAGGGTAGATGAGTAGATGGATGGGTAATTTATTATTTTACTTCATTTTTATTCTTTTACTGAGATTGCTTCTCATATATATTTGATGGCTAAATTATCTTTCAAGGTAATTCAGGACCACTTTTGAATGTCCTCTGTCTTTGCTAACATTTGCTTTATATATATATATATATATATATATATATATATATATATACGATCAAGACTTGCTTTTTCATACACTAGTCTAATGTAACAGAAGCAAACCCATGTGCCACCAGTACTCATATACATATATTTCAAGCCATTTTTTGCAGTACTAAACACTTTCATGCCATACAATTATATAGTGATTAAGTGGGTATTTTCTCTTTTTTTTTTTAGAAAACAAATTCCACCAAAATCACTAATTTCCCATAAAATAAGAAAAGTGGGTGTTTTTCAAGACACGTTTTCTCTTTCTTTTTGAATTGAATTGAGAACTTAAGGAATGACCCATCATAAGACTAAGACTGTATACCATATTCCACCATTGAAACAATGCAAACAGCTCATGAGTACAAGCATGCCAACCCTTATCTTCATTTTCTTTCCAAGCATGATCATAAATTCAGCTCTTGTTTGAGGATTCAAGAATGATAAGACAATCTGCATTAATTTGATGTTGAGACCATGTGATGTTATCTATCCAATATATTATGAACAAGCTTAACTTAACCAGTCTTTTGGTTCATCTTTATGGAGGAAAAGCTGACGCTGTTTTGAGTGTTTGCTTTTAAAAAGATCCACTATATAAATATATATATATGTGAAACACTTTTGAAAGTAGAAAAATATTGATTCATTATATACATATTGGTAGAGGGAATCACATGGGTTGAAAAGTGTGTTCATGATCAATTAGGCTGAAGTGGATAAAGAGCTCTTTTATTTAAATTGTTTATACAAAGTTGCTTTATGGCATATACTCCTATGTATCTATTCTCACTCAATTACCATAGCACTTCTTAGTAACATAACTTTTGTTGCCCATATTTGAAAATTTGAAGAATGGAGCATGCTTATGACTTCAACTTCTTTGTCAATGATCTTTATTAATTATCTAAATAAATTCGTAGAAAAATAAATAAATATTTTTTTATTGAATCATAATTTCTGTTTTATCAAGAAAAATAATTGATTATGTCAATCTTTTTTTTTCTATATTTTAAATTAAAAAAATAATGCTATCTTATCATTCATATTAATTAGTGTTTGAAAAGATAAAGAATCAAACTCTTTTGTTGATAGAAAATTAAAATTTTATAAATTTAGGAGGTCACATAATGAATTAACGTGCGGGTTCGAATTGTATTATTGATCTCGGATTCCGTATATTTGTTCAAAAAATGTGACAATAATAATATTTTTTTAATTATTTTTAAATAAAGAATTTTTACTATTCATTCATTTATTGATTAATGGATGAATAGTTAGTATTTTTACAATTCTGTACAAAGAATTCTAATTGGTTTGTACGTCCTATATGTATTCTTATGATATATTCTTATGTGATGAGTATTGTCAGAGTATTTTTTTTTTCACAACCATTTCATTTGGCTTCTACCAGAAACATACCTGTAATTGATTTGGATCATACTCTGCAGTTTCAAAAACCAATATACAATATACAATATATATATATATATATATATATAATGAAAGCCTGCAATTTCTACCATAAAGTATAGTTGCACCTTAAAGCAAGATCACCAGGCACCAATTAGGAATCTCCATTTTTTCACAATGATGTACATCGAATTGTTCGTTGTCTAAGTTTCATTTATCCCTTCTCTGAGGAATATTTTAACTTGGGTTCAAGCTCTACTACAAATCCAATGGAGCTAACAGAGGAAAAAAGTTTCCTTTGATCTTACCATGTCTGCTTTTCTTCAGCTTCTTTCCCCATACATATATATATATATATATATATAAATATATGGAATGTGCAAATTAAGTTCCCATAAAAGTGAAGTAGTTTCTGGGTAATCCTGCGATTCTGTTCTTTCATCATTATGCCCTTTAAAATTAAGTTGAAAACTTGAAATTGAACACTTCCCTTTTCAGATTTTGAATAATAAAGTGCATGAATCGATTCATAGCCAACTAGTTCATATCGCAGCATACTACAAAGATATATCACTTAACTTGGTATCCAGAGGAAGCAGACTGTATGTGGAAAAGCATGAGCACATAACTCTAACTTTGGAATCGGAAAGATTAAAGAATAAATAAAAGAAACGAAAAACATAAGGAATCAGAATTTTATGAGGTTGATTCTATCACATGTAAGGAATCACTCTCGAGTCTAGAGCTTCGTAGAAATGAAAAAAAAGAAGTGAGGTTTCTTCATATATTCTTAAACTAATTAAAAGATGATTAAGACATTGGAATATGATTCACAGATACTAATAATATCACCACTTATTGAATGTGAAAAGCTTCAGTTCCTTCAAAATTTACCAAAACTTTATTATCTTCTGATCTTAAGGTACTAAAAAGTGCAGATAGAGAATCATGTCATCTGAGCCCTTCTGCAATTCCATTGTTCGACGTATGGTGAGCCTTCCTCGCACCCTAATGGGAGGTTTCTCACGAGTAATTGGAAGAAGGAACTTTCATCAACCTCTCAACTTTCACCTTCAATTTCCACAGAAGCCATTGATTGTCCCAGAAGAATGGGCATTTCTAGCCAGTTTTGAGCAGCAATATGGTTCAACACATCCATTTTTCTTTGCGTGCAAGTTCTCGGAGACTTCAAAGATAGCTGAGGAAGAGGGAAAGTTCATGTTCATGTACCTCCACTCACCAGGTCACCCCTTCACTCCCTCTTTCTGTCGAAACACTTCTTTGCTCAGAGCTAATAGTGCAGTTCCTTGATGCAAATTTTGTTTGCTGGGGAGCACTCGCAGATAGAGTAGAAGGTCTGAAAATGGCTGCAGCCTTGCAGCCTGCTAGCTTCCCATTTTGTGCTGTAGTTTATCTGGCTAATGATCATAGTTTGGCAGTCCTACAACAGGTTCATCCCTTGTTTATTGTCTATGGTTTCTATATCAAAGATTGAGGGTCCAATTTCCCCGGCTGATCTTGTGGAGATCCCACATCGAATGTTCAAGGAGCAAGGTAAGGCCTTTGGCAAGAACGAAGAGAAGATGAGAGCGAGAGCAAAAGAGGAAGGGAAAATAAGAGCATATCATCGAGAAAGTGAAGAACAAGACGCAGCATATCTAGCTGCTCTGCAGATTGACAAGGTCTCCTTCATTGTCTTACTCACTAACTAACCATGTTTTCTAGACTTAACATACTCATTTGACATACAAGAAAGCCTGTTCTTGCATTTGTAGGGAAAGGAAAGACTTGGAAATTTACGAACTGAATCATCAAACAGAACAAATATGGAGAAGATTAATAAACCAAATCCTCCACAAAGACTGTTTGGTAAAGCCAAACAGCTTTCCATAATTAAACAAAATGCTCTACAAACTGTAAACCCTGCAAATGGTGCTACTACTAAGGTTGTTCTAATGGGTTTGTTTGTTTTTGTATTAGTTAACCTTTAGCTTAAACCAACAATTGATTAGAAAAATTTGCAGATATTAATTCGATTTCCAAATGGCGAAACAAGAGAGCAAAGCTTCTCATCCTCAGACAAGATCCAATCAATCTATAGATATGTTGATTCATTAGGCCTTCCGGGTATCAAAAACTACAGATTGATATCAAGCTTTCCGAGAAGAATTTTTGGGGTTGATCAAATGAGTATGACATTCAAAGATGCTGGACTCCATTCAAGAGCAAGCCTGTTCTTGGAGCTCATGTGAAAACAAATTTACTTAAAGTCAAATCTACCAGACACCTTTTTACTTTAACTATTACTATCTTAATAATCGTATATATGCTTAGTTTCACTAGTAATAAATGTTATTTAATTAAATTTTTTCACCAAAGCAGAAGAATTTTTTTTCTGAGTGAGAAATCAGATTGCAGGACTGGTAAAAACAAAACAAAGTACGCATGATCATGGCCTCAGATTCTCAGCTCAAAAGACATAAGAAAAGAAAAATGGAGTCTGCACAAAGATCTGGATTAAAACTTAGAAAACAGAAAAAACAAACAAACAAACCAAACATGATACAGATCAAGAAAAATTGGAAGAGGAAAGATTTTCTCAGTCAAACTTGTACTAAAACAGCATTATTTGAAACCCAGGATGCACAGAACTTGCCTTCTGTTTATATATATTTATGTATATGTATATGTATATGTTGTGTGTGTGTGTGTGTGTGTGCGTGCTTCCTTCTAGGGATCTGTAACTCTGCAATGATTAATGTGCAATCATCAATCAGATTCCTGAAAAGGGTGCAGACTTTGAGTCTGCTTACCAAGCAGAGGAAACAAACTATATTTGAATAAATTTTTATACAAAATTCATACCATGTATGTATCTATGTATCTATGTACTTATTCATATTCTTGTCCCAGAGACGCCTCATAGAAAAATTAATAAAAATCTTATAAAATACATATATATTAATTTAGTATCATATTTTCACTAATAATTCTATTATAATTTTTATGGGTCACCATAAATGTTTGTCAAGTTAGTAATATATTCATAATATTATATAACATATATTTGTTACATAAAATTTTTATTAGATTTCTTATTTCCTAATTCTTGATAATAAGAATTTTTAATATTTATTTTTTTAAAAAAAATTATATAATCTATTGAAGAATAATTTTATCAATAAAAATAAGCAACTATGTGGCCCTTATACATAACATATATTATGTAACGATAATATTATTGGACTTATATTTTATTGAATATATCAAGAAAAATTTTCTCCGCAATTGCTAGGCCCATTAACAAGCCCATAGAGATACTCGACACAGGCCCGTAGATCTCAGGGCTGAAAACGTCGTCGTTTAAACTTTCGTACCCAACCATCCTACTGAGTATTCGTCAGCGCATTTTTCGTCACTGAATTCTCCCGGGAAGCAAACAAACAACAAAAACTCTGCCTCACATAAACACACTTCTGCATCTGAGCAAGGATTTACTTATTTTAATGGCGAACTGCACTTGCCATGCGCTTCGCTCGAGCCATAATATCGGCAATCTTTTGGTTTTTTCATTCAATTTCACTAGTCGACGAATTCGAAACTGCAATTTCTCACTTCGGAATTGCATGGTGACCCCAAATGAATCTCGCAAGGTACTCCGCCTCTCATTTCCTCATTTTAACATTCCATCTAGTTTTCTCTCCCTACTACGATATTAAGAGCTGGGTTCTTAACTTTTGGTCGGTTGAAATTCTAAAAAACGAAAATCAAAGGGACTTTTGGTTTATTTTCTGGAGGGGAAAACAGGCTTCTAGCATTTTATGCCAAAGCTCTAGTGATAGAATTTACATGCAACTTCAACCACTGTAATTTCATTTCTGGTGCGTGTGCATGATTTTTTCTTGCCTCCGATGAGATTTCATTTAATAATCCCTACCAGAAATTCACACTTTAGTTTGATTGAGAGAAGATACAAAGTTCCTTCCAAATTGATAAAAATTGACATTTTAGAAAATTTTACGAGTAATTAAAATCGTATATTTGAATTATATTAAGTTCAGTTTGTTTTGGAAAGTATTTTCTCAATTAATCTTTGAATTCTTTTGTCATCAATATGATTAAGGTAGTGTTTGAAAGAAATCCAGAAATCTCTTGGAATTTGTTTGCAAGTACACACTTAATAAAACTTCATGTAAAATTTTAAATATTATCAATTTTTATCATCTCTTAATAGAGTTTACATTTTATCAATGTGGATTGCAGATGAACTTCACAAAATTTCTAGATTTATTCTAAACATAGCATTAAGTGTGTATTTCTAGATAAATTCCACAAGTGAAGTTCATTTATTCCTTCACAGCCTTATCTTTTTTGCAATGCCTCCTCATTGTAAATCTCCTCCTTTTCACTTTCTATCCAATATATTTTCATTTATAAACGAAATAAAGTATGTTAGTTTCACTCCATTCTATTATTTAATCCTCTCCCTTCTCTCCCAAGTAGCTTGTCCACTTGGTTCAGTTTAATCTATTTTAAAATTTTATACATGTTTTAGTGATTGAAGGTAAGACAATGAGAAATGAGTTAAATCAGATAGCCCATTCCGGTAGGAAATTGTAGTTATTAAGATATGACGAGGCTAATCATTGAAAATACAATATCTTTTTTCTAGTTAGGTCTTTTAATTTTGATTAATGCTTATTGATAAGTTCACCAAGGTTTCAACTCAAACCAAAAGTTAACTTAGATTTTTTTCTCTTTTTGGAAACTTCTCCAATAAATGGAGACCTGGGGGGTGAATAGAATGTGTGAATTTTACCCGTCCGATTCCTTAATAGAAGTATGTAGAGTTATTTATTGCTCATATTTGATTGTATCAAATTCTGCAGCTAGTTTTGGAAGTTAAGAAGAAGCTTGAAAAGGAATACAACAGTCTTCCAGTGGGAAAAAATGGAAGAGATGATGAAGAAATGATCCTTTGGTTTTTGAAGGACAGGAAGTTCTCTGTTGAGGAAGCTGTTGCAAAATTGACTAAAGCCATTGTATCCTTAATGGCACACTTAAGTTTTGAACTTGTTTCCATCGACTCATCTCTGAAAACCTGAAGAGTGTCGATGGATGAGAAGCATTTGAGACTAAATCTATTTCAAGAGATTTACAAAATGGGTTTTATTTCTCAATCATTGTTGCCTTGGTTGATGAGAATTATAAAGCTGTTACATGATATTTGTCAGCTGCACTGTTAGGATTGCTTTGAAGGAGATGAAAACTTCATAGCAAAGGCAATTTTCGTGTGATTTTGCACTTCAGATCTTATTTTGCCTTTGAATATTTAACTACAGATTTTCATTTGGTTGTTGATCTAGTTTCCATAACCCTTACCAGAAATGGCGTAAA